GGGGGGGGGGGGGGTGGTGGCTCGTGGGGGGGTGGCAATGAAGCTACGATTGACTTTCTTAGAACCGACCAAAGGTCGGGGGAAATGGCTTGCAGAAAATCCTCCCGGCACAATGGTGGTTCTCCCGCGCGCAAACATATCGCGGAAGGGAATGCGCCTTTACGGAGGCGTGGATTGTTTGGTACTGTGGATCCCATTATAATGTTCCGCGGAAGCAAGCATTTTTTTTCGCTGTAAACGATGGCGGCAAGTGAAAGATCATGGCTAGGCTGTCTTATGTTTGTGTGGGACAACAGGAGTAGAGAGCTCCATACGCGTCGGGCTTCGTATACGATACGCCTTTTTTTTTTTCTTGTGGTTGTGCGCCGTGGGTATCGGCATCACCAACGCCAGAACTAAGTAGAGGGGGGCGGGTGTGTTACTAGTGTGGGGACTGGACGCGACAAACCAAAGCTGCGACTGCTGAGGCGTTGCGTGTGGGACGGGCCCGTCTTCAGTTTTCAATTCGTCCCGGTGTTGTGTTGACGTGTGGGTCAGATAATTATCCACATAATCGAACATCGTGGTGGTTTCGTGTACCATTTGTCGTTTGTTCGGTTGTCGCTTACGCCTTGACTTTGACCGCTTTGGGGGATATGAAGGCCGGTCCCGCCGTCGCGAAGGGGGCAGATCTCCCACTACTGCGGGTTAGAACCTCTCCTGCTTCGGCTAAAAGCGCATTTTGTTGCCCCCCCTCCTCTCCCCCCCCGCGCTCACCAAAAAATCGTGCTGCAGTAGTCACGGAACCTGGCGTGTTGGGCGGTGTTTGTCTCTGCCACGCCCCCACTCCCCCTGCAAATGGGTGCTTGTTGATGACCTGCACCTTAAGCCATGCCGCCCTCTAACCCGTCCCGATACGATGGGTTGACCTGCCTCAAACAAAGAAGGCATTTTTCATCGTTTAGAAAACAGCGCCGATCGCGTAGTGTTACGTACAGGCGCTTGCGCAAAGTTGGTATCTCGCCACCATGGTCACCTTTCCGTGAACTCGTTTTCTCCACCGAGTGATTCAATGTCGTGCCGACTGCACCAACAACTGATTTCAAGTTCTACAAACAATTCCGCGGCTAAATACCCGTGTTACCGATGATCCACTGTTTCTTCTGCATCGCGGTTTCGGAAAGCTCGTAACATGTAATCCAACAATCGGTCACTTCTCTCCAGCGGTTTTAGCCTCTGCCTTCTCCGTCGATGTAGTCGTCGTCGTCGTCCATGCCGTCAACGTGCGAGCTGGCATCGCTTTCACACGACGACGAGGAGTACCCCTCTTTTTTTTTCGCCCTCTGCTTCGGAAAGATGGCGCACTCTTTTTTTTTTCGCCCTCTGCATCCACGTCTTAAAGCTCTCGAAGAAACATGCTGGATCGGCGCACAGGCAGTCGTGGCTGGGTTCATAGTCACTCCGGACGGGCCACTCCGCTCTAAGCATGTCGTCCATGCCGTCTATGCCGTCCTTCAGCTCGCTAAGAAAAGCTCGCGCGTCTGCGACATCATCCGCGCCCTGCAGGTGGTGCCATCGTTGTCTGTGGGGCGGCCTGCTGCAAGCGTAACAGACGCGGTTCCCATCCGGAGTCTCCAAACGGTGCACTTGTCGGCCGCAAGCGCTCTTCCTACCCCGCCCGGTGCTCGCCACACTCGTGGTGGTACCTTCTCCGTTGGCTCCGTCCGGCGCATTCCGAGACAGCCACGCGGAGCACATTGAAGGGCTCTCCGAACGTCTGCGAGCCCTGCCACCAGTAACGGCTGACCCGGAGACTTCTCCTCCTTCGCCACCCCTCACTCCAGGGGTAGGGGCAGAACTCCGGCGACGAGAGCGGCGCAGCATGAGTGTTGCATCGCTTGCGGGTCGCTTCCCACCACCACAACCCTCAGCGATCGAACCTGCCCATCGACAGACCAAGTGAGCAACGTTGATTTAGAGGCTACAACTCATGCAATTCTTTCGCCTTGTCTATACACAAGCCCTCAAACAGTTCGACGACGGTGGTGTTGATTGTGTGGCCACTCGTCCACGTATGTCCACCAAACACCCTAGCTTCGTAGGAGTTAAGGTTGTGCGTGGTGTACAAACTCCTGAGCTGCAGTTAACAACAGTGCCTGCAGCAGACGTAGGTGAGCTAGTGGTCTAACTTTCGGTGGATGCTAGACTTCAAATGTTGGGTACAAGCGCGACGCCTCACCTTCTCCTCGCCCCCCGCGGCTGGTACCGTGCCCTTCATTGCCGGCTTCCATCTCTCCACAAACACACAACGTCCCCGGCGGCACCTGAGACAAAGATTTGAGAATGGTGGCTAATGTGACCGAGGAGCCCCACCAACACACGTCGATGATCGCGCTCTTACAGCACCGTCAAATCTTACTGGTTTAATTGCCGCATACAATGCTCTTTTTTCGGATGTACACGCATACACCGGTGCGACAAGCCCTTCCCGCTGTTGTGTGCCCAATCAGCCCAACCAATCCCCAACGTCGAATGGGGGAGGCGGGAGGCGGGCGCCGAGCGATATATCTTACACAAACCGGGATGGGCTTGTATGCTATAAGAAGCACACGACGGCACGGGCTTTTTCAGGTACAGCAGCTACTGCTGCTGCTGTCGTCGACGACTACATAATCTACACATGCTACACAAACACAAAAAAAATTGTGGAAGTTACACAAAAAACACAGAAACGACACATTTGTTGCGCACTATACGGGTCATGAGCACTATGTTAGGCCCACCGCTGAGTGTAGAGACGCGCTGCTGTGGGCGTAGTCTGCACTTGTGCGGGCAACCAGCAGCTTTCGTGGGTATCTAGAGTCTACATAGATCTTGTCTCTCTGTTGCTGTATTACGATGGATCTATATGGATATATCTGTGCAGACCTCAGGATGGGCGGCAGCGAAACTGCTGTAACCCCAGCGACTTAACAGGCTTGTAAACACAACTCTCCGGCATCACAGGAAACTTTCAACTCTGCGAGACTCGCTGTTCAGTCAAGAGGTACGTCGCGTGCTGCTACAAATCCCTGTCTACTGCTGTATGTAGGGCGGTGCCGCGGTGCGCACATGATCTCGCCGCAGCAGAGACGTGCGCGCAGTTGTGCCGCAGGGTTTTGGGATCGCTCTCTTCGCGCGCCGACCTAATTTTGCGCCGCGACCTACGACGTCACCGCTGTGGCTAATACTCTTCCTTATCACCTGCTGTCAGTACCCTTGGTGTTCCGCCTCCCGCTCGAGCTCCGTGGGCCGAGGAATGCTCGATTCCGTGGACAGGTCGACGACTGAATTATTACGAGGGCCGCTCCCCTCGCCAGAGTTTCGGTGAACACACAGCACGAAGGCCAAGGACATCCTCCTACTACCGCTGCCCCGCGGTTAAGTGATACGCGTCGCAGTCATCAACGGAGTCGATCGTCCGCGACAGACGCATCACCGGAGCACGGTCCACAGGCACGCGCAGCAGCTCCTCACGCTCCCACGCCGCTTGAAGCATCCCTAACTCCGTCACCTCCGCCTCCTCCTGTGCAGCACTCCTAAGATCTATGCCGCTCGCAGCATCGCCGTCATCCTCGTCACGCCGACTTGGTGTGTCACTCAAGAAGAGCATGTAGAACGGTATGCTGCCGTTCAAAGGGCCCAAATGCACCATATCCGCAGCATGCATTTTGCACCGGGTCTGGCGTGCAGTGACGACTGTCTAACTATCTTGCGGTACTACTGCAGCTGGCTCGCCATGGTAGTGTGTATCACGGCCGAGGTGTGGGTGCATAGCTAGCCTCACGGGCTGGTGCGGCATGCGTCCGGACAACGTCGGGTGTATCTCGGGGAGTATAGGCCAACCAGAAACTGTTCCCAAAAAGATAGATGCAAGCAAGATGGAATTTGATCTTTTCTGCGGTCTTTGAGGGCAATTCGTACAACAAGCGAAAGATCAAATTCCAAAGATCCCACGGTCTTCGGCGCTCGGGTGGATAAAAAAGATTGAAATCAAATCGAATTCCGATGTTCGCAAACTCCGTAGTAGAAGTTCCGAACATATCGGGACAACATGGGAGAAGACTCCAGGCGGGTCAGACTGACCACTTGTGGGCTATGGTCTATGACGTATATATGTCTACACTTGGACGGTATCTCTACCAGATCTACGAAATGGAGGAAGCTGGCGGGTCTCATTCTACGCAGGCGTGCATGGCACATGCGGGGATGGATCAGGACAGGGCCCTCTCCACAAGCCCTTCATCGTACACCCATCCGATTGCTCGAGCGTCTACTGGACTCGCACTCGGCGTGCGCTCTAGCAGCATCACAGGCGGGGCTTGTGGCGAAGGAAGGAGGCCTGATCATCAACGGTGAGTCGAGAAAAACTGAAACATGACCATCGGAGATGTGGGGGGTATGGATCTAATCGTCGAGCATGCCCTCCGTGTCGCCCTCACGCTCGTCTCTCAGCGTTGGGGCAGGTAGGCCCCGAGGCCTACAGCTATCAGTGTATAATGCTGGCTCTCTCGGATAGAAGTCCGTTTGTCAAATGGTGTAGTGTACACAGAGCAATGTCCAAACTCCGCACCCACAACTGAACAACGTGGCCTCTTGTGCACCAGGGACCCTGAAATAGACTTGTTCCTCCGATAAAAATATCTCTGCTACTCTGTTGTCGCAGTGTGATCCTTCGTGTGGCACGTCGGGGTAAGCGGCGCGGAGGGACAAGTACAAACCCCCAACCAGCACAAGTAGGTGGTGCGCAGAACATTGTTAAGGGTTAAACACTTTGCTTCTCTGTTCGTGGACAGATTTGTAACATTATTTGGATGTGGGATATGACGAGCGGCGATGACGGGTGGCTTTTGCGGTGCATGCGTCACCACTTGTGTAGTGCTGCGGGCATCCGTCGCCACTTACTTTATACAAACTGCCCGCTGATATGCATATTATTGTTTTATTAGTAATAAATTGTTCGACGGAAGAAGTGCATTTCCCCCTTTGTTTGAGCAATCAACTCTCTCTTTGGTATACGTCTGGTAACACTAGACTATATAGAAGGTGAGGAGTGAGAAATATGCGCATGTTATGTCGAAGACAAAGGTCTGCATCACCATGCACTTTCTGCCTCTGGTATTTCTGTTGAACTGGTATTGCGTAGTGTCACCAAGGTCATTCATTGGGGTACTTGGTCTTCTCTCTTTGTGAACAGTTCATGCCCCGGGATGTAAGACCAGTCAGTCCCCCGACGGTAACCCTGTCCGACACTCTTGCTTCTTGTTCGATGGAGCGGCGATGTCCGTTAGTTTATTGGTTAGCATCATATGGATACATCGAGCTACACCATATATATATATATGTAGACATGAAGCATTTTGAACAGCCAACGCCCGCTCGCGATACACTACGCGGCCATCCACACATGCGCAATTCTAAACACTTTGCTACCTTACCGTCGAAATCCAGGGTCAGTACTTCCGATGCAGGGATCTACCCACACGCCAGACAGGCCCGCACGCGCGGGAAGTCAACGTCGGCACACCACGCCATCGCTGAGCACGCAGGCTTGGGAGGAAAGCAGAGGTGCTCGGCGGCAACGTGTGAGTGAACTCTCTCGTGTCGCCGGATTAGTCAGGCGTCTATACGATCAGGCGTCTACACGGCCTTCGGGTCGGCCGTTGTTGCTGTTGTTTGAATGGTAGCGGTCACGGTTATCCCAGACACCGGCTGCGGTCTGCTTTACTCTCACCCCCCACCCCACCCTCAATTTACGGACCACATGACGCACAAGGTGGAGGACTCCGACAGCGCAGCAACCCCTGCGTCCATCGCGGAGGAACACTTCGGGTACTTGGGTTGGAAATGGAGGGGGAATCATTTTGGCTCGAAGCTGCCTCTGTGTCTTTTCCTCACACTGCACGACCGGGGTAACGGACACAAGATTGGAACCGGAGCCGACGTGCTGCGTTGGGTCCGGGAGTGGCTAGCAACGTCTCGTTACAGAGATGTTGTGACGTTGGATATTACGTCCCAGCAGGTCGCCCAGCATCTGAAAGCTTTGGCCCAGAAGGTACGATTATTTCTCGTTGCAAGTGAACACGTCACACATTGAGCAGTACGGCCATCAGTTTTTTTTTTTTCGTTTCTAGATATCTGTAGTCCCCGTTGGTATACGAGAACAGACGCGGTTTACCCGATTCGTCGATGAAGTAAGACTAGGCTTGTGTCGTTTAAAACTCGTCGGGAGGCGTGTGCACGTGCCATTTCCCAGGCGGAGCGGAATTCTTTGACGCAATCCGTGCTTTCAGACACAACCCCCATGTTCCCGCGTTCCATCTCGTCTCACTTGGGGCAACCACCCCCCCCCCCACTCGATGTTGGAATGTCTTTCTTGAATAGGATAATCTTGCGGATATTTTTGGGCTCGACGCCGATATCGTCACAGAGAAGGGTAAGGATGCCTTCTACACCATCCCCTCATACCATTGGGGCTCCTGGACGAAGACGACGAAACCGTGGGGCGCCGACTGGGGTTTTACGGGCAATGATGCCGATGGATTCACCTTCTTTACTGCCGCGAGGGGTGCACATGTTGAGGTCAGTGTCATGGACCCGGAGTGTTTGTATTCGCATACCCGGGATAAAACTATACTGGAATGTGACCCTGTCGCGCTAAGCTAGCACGTGCACAAGCATGTGGCACGTTGCAGTGTGTGTGTGTGGGAGTTCGAACTAGGGTAGGGGCAGCGTAGCAAGCGTTCGTGCTACATGCGTTCAAACTGAAATGTCGAACCTTTAATCTTCCACTCTTTTTCCTCTTTGATGCTTTCGTGGAGAAGGGCTACTCTGTGCCCGAGCCTTGTGGGCTGTGTAGTCGCAGTGTGTCTACTCGTTGAGCAATCGCAAAAAAATCCTATTTATCATGAACGGTTCATTTAATAAGTAGTCGGGCAACCTGGACATCACCAGTGCATCCATTTGTGTGAAACTGACCACACAAAATCTATAAAAAAAAAATTCTGAAACTTGGACCAGGTATGCCTTGGACCCACGAAGCTGAAAGGGGTTGGACCGATTACTTCCATCACGTTCAACGGGCACTGCGTTCGGAACCACGACGCTCTCCGCAGGTTTACGGCAATCGGCGCGGAAGATGATTTGACGGAGGTGAGTATCATGTAGGGTTGGTGTAGCGCTTGAAAGAGCACCACCGTCCACCCGCTCCAACTCATGTTCAGAGGGCATGTGGAGAAGTCTGGACGTTGAGCACGTCGGGAAATACGGGTTTCGCTTGACTTGGTATGTTTTGTTTCGCGAAGGCCGTGCTGTGCCGCCGACGTCAAATATAGTCTCAATCGCTCAAACACTCAATTGTGTACCTGGACTTTTCTTCTCTAGCTTTATAAAAAATCGGAAAAAGTGCCTCTAGAACGTGCGGGGGTTATTGTAGGTCACAATATTTACCGGCCCCGATGATGGTGTGTGTTGTGTTCCCTTCGTTTTCTTCGTTTACGTTTGCAGCTTCTCAATGTGGTGTGGCACACGCTTCCTTGCCAAGGCGTCTCTCAGCAGCATGTCCGGGAGGACGCCAAGATGCCAGCAGGGGCCGCCGACGTTTTCCCGAGCCTAGTCCGCCAGGCGCAACGGAACCTCGAGAGTAATCCGACTTTGCCGTTTGGAGAACGGGGGAGATGGCAGAACGCTTTTGTCGAGGGCCTGTTGTCTGGCCCCTCTGGGGTTTCCGGGGTGTTGGGCACCGTCGGGGGTCACAGTGTCCCGGGTCACGGCGGGGTTGGAGGTCACAAGGTGTTTTGGGCGAAAGGATGTGTTGGAGTTGCCACTCCATTCCAAGGCCTAAACTCGGTGCCCCGGTGTCAGGGATGTAGAGGTTTCGTGAGGGAAGCGTTGCGACCGCGGCTTGAGAATGCATCGAAGGCCGAGTCCCTCAAGTCGAGCAAGAACATCTACATGACCAGCGCACAAAAGGTGGATGAGACGATCGTGTTAGCGCCACAACGGGTACCTAGGGGTGTCATTTTTTTGTTTTTTGCACGCCATTCGCCAACCATTATCTTCTTCGAATTTCGCGATGCAGCAACGTCGAGCAATTCGCGCGATTTAACCCGAAACGCAGGATCACAAGCTCTGGTCTACGGCAGCCTCACTGAATAGAGAGCGAAATGCCACGGTCCGGCTGCGTGAACGGATCGTTTCTATGAGGAAGGAGTGCGTTCGCGTTCCTGTGGAACAAGGGGAAGCGCTTCATAAGTTCCTTGTCGACGCCGAGACGAAGGAGGTGATACACTCGAGACTCCCTCAGGGAAGCGACCAGAGGTATTTCTATGAGGTGGGCTGTTTTGTTTGGGATTTCAAGTGGTATTGGAGGCGTCTCGCCGAAGTTTCCAGGGTGCTTTGCTGATCGAAGTTGTTCTTTCAGACAGACTGGCCGGTTTATCTGGAGGTCGAGAATTGCTATCTACGAGGTTGTCTAGAAACGATGGGGATACCTACGTCGTGTAGGCAAGGCGAAACACCGCCCACCTCGTGGCGGGTGGTGCAGTGAAACGTACGAATGGTTGCGGAAGAAAACAAAAGTTTGATTTAGGGGGGCTCATGTCTGTGAGTACTCATGTTTGCCTTAGAATAGCTATGCGACAAAACGCTCCCACTCTCCGTGCTCACAGGATCAGGTGAAGTGGAACACGAGTCACGGCAAGGCCAAGGGGTTTCGATTCCACCCGGCTACGATGAGACTTGCCATCTACATCCAAGGGATTGCGGGGACTGCGGCGTACAACATGCTGAGGAATGTCCTGCACCTGCCTAGCCCTGAACGCATCAAGCAGCTGCGACGGAACGCCGCCCCTCCTAGGACGTGTGTGCTGACCGAGAACATCCTGGTAAGACTTACGCTGAGTTCGACTTATGTTGATCAAAAGAGTAGTGGAAATGTGCTCGGCTCGATGTGTTGTATGCATAGTTTGATCCTTTTTTTTTTCGTTATTCCTTTTGTCGGCACTGCATTCGCCTCCGAGGATTGTGGGTTAGATGCAATTGTTATCTAAGTCTCCCCCTTACTCCCGCTGTGTCCAGAAATACGGAAAGCTCGCGGCCACGCAAGACGCTGACAAAGTCGACCTGATGGGGGTCTTGACGTGGGACCTCATGCACCTCAACAAGAACGGTTTTAGTTTCGCACCCAATGGGGGGGGGTTCACGGGCCTCGTGGACGAGACGGCGTTCTTCAACCCCATCTACAAGCACGAGGGGGGGGTTGTAAAGGAAGTAGAGCCAACTCTGGAAAAGATTGTCGCCACGCAATACGTCGAGGTAGGGAACCAGATATCTCCCGGTCGGGTTTAGTGTAGTCGTGCTGTGTCGAATTCGTACCGGGTGTCGAGTTCACAGACTGAGTTTGGCTTCGTATCCTTGCCCGATCCGGTGACGCGCGACGGATCTGCCTTCACGATCTTTGCCTTCGTCGTTCTTGATGAGGCAGTCGCACACCCCCAAACACTGCGACACGCACACGTGGTCGTTCATCCCTGCCCACTCTATTCGAAAAACACAGATGTTCTTCGTGAGCATCGGCAAGCCGGAGTACAAGTTCGTCGTGTGGCGCGAGGCTGTCCGCTCTCTCAGCACGGACTACATCCAACGCATGTTGATCCGGGTCATGCGTTATCTTGCGATGGCCCACCCGGATAAGGCCTTCGACGTCGTAGCCACCATATGCGATGGTGCACCTGAGCAGTGAGTGTTTTTTTTTTTGTCGACGTTGCTATCTGGTGTCTGCGGGTTGTCCCACATATTGCGTCGGTATCGAAAAGTTTGAGTCGAGTGTGTAGGCTCGGAGAGGTCACTTTGTCGATGTCCGAGTGAATGACCTCGGAAAGACCGTGTGTGGAGCCGTACTTGACGATATGCCCTTTTCCCCTCGATTGCGCACTCGCGAACGCCTCTCGGCAGCCGTTCTTTTCAGACACACGCGGCTATTTTAGGGTTCTGTCACTGGATCAAGGGGCCGAAGGAGGGCTCGTTCGCTGGCTTCAAGGTCGGGTTCCTGCACCCCGTTCATCTTCACGAGGTATTCAACATGAGCGACCCCATGCACATTCTCAAGAAGATCGTCAACGCCCTTTGGCACAGCGACATCCCCGCCAAGCAGCGCCAGCTGGGGATGTGGTGCGTGACCGACCAGGACGAGTTGAAGTTTTCTCAGTTTTCCCTGAAGACCGCGCAACGAGTGTACAACGACGTTGAGTACGACAACGACAGCATGACTCCCGAGGAACGACCTGCCACCTTGACCATCTTCCCAGGCATGCCAGTGGGCGCGTTCAACCGGACTAATTTCACGTGCATGAACGTCAAGCTTTCTGCGAAGGTGATGAAAGGTTGAGTTCAAAGTTGCGGAATCTTCGGAGCACGAACGTTAAGCCTCTTGGTGCAAAAGGAAGTTCAGGCTATGGGATTATTTTTCCGGATGATTACGTTCATGCTTGGCAGCAAGTTTTCCACCATCACGAAGGCCTAACGTACAATCCCGACTTCTTCTCTTATTTTGCTGGTGTTCGTCAGGTGGTGTCGGGGACCATCGTCCGAGCTATCCGCGAAGTTCGGGCCAACCAGGAGACGAGGGGCGAATCCCCGGACCTTGCACTGGGATGCTACGAGGGCCTGGCTGTCCACCTCAACGACTTCGTAGATATCTTCAACGGTGAGGAAACCACACGCGGTTTGGCACGAAAACGACGGCATGTGTGCAATATTGAGAGTATGCCATCCGGTCGTGGGGTCTAGGGTCTGGCCGCATGGGCGCAGTCGGTATCACGATCGACCTCTGTCTCCCCCTGTGTCGGTATCCACGGACGACGCTAAAATAGACCGATATCTCGTATCGGGTAGGCTCGTCAGGTGCAGGTTCAAAGTGTTGGACATCTATTTACATGTTCCGTTTACACCGTCCGCTCATTTCGCCGTGCACACAGGAGATTACGGTCGCACGAAGTTCGAGCGTCGCGCGAAAATCAACAAGATGAAGGGATACGTGACTTCGGCTGAGGACCCCATCCTCGAGAGGCTCATGGAGATTCTGAGGTACTTCGACGATTGGAACGACATGCTGCAGGAGTTCCCCCCCCCGACCGGCGGCGGAGACCTGGGATGGAAGAAGCATTTCATCACGCGTGAGTCTTGGTTCGACTTGCGCCTGACCATCCTCGGCTTCGTGGCTACCTGCCGCAACTGTGGCTTGGTCATCTTTCTCACCGTCTCAACAGCTAGACCCTCATTCGTCACAGTCCCCGAGCCTGCCATGACACCACCCGCCAACCGGCTCGTTCCATCAATCCCCCCACCAACTGGAGCCACCCCCTTCGCTGTGGCCTCCCCCTTCGCGCTGGTGGCTCTCAGATTTTGGCGCAGGGCCAATTCGCCCTTCGACAGCCTGAGCGTGGAATTTTGACTCAATCGGCGTGCGAAATCCCCCATACGGACGTTGTGAAACTTCTGCAAGACAAATTTGTATATGTCGTCGAGAATCTCAGGTTGCGCTTCGAACGGGGGGGGGGCAACGGCGGAAGGGCAGCATTTAGCCCATGCCCTCCGTACCTCTGATGACTCGGTGACTACCCTCAAGATCTCAGCCGATAAGTCCCCTAGATAAGTACCTAGAAAGTAAGGGTCGCGGAGGAAATGGTATATCCCGTTCTCGACGTGGAATACGAATTCGTACCACGCCAGTGTAGGAAAGAGGAGCCCCGCACCGTTAACGGGATCATTCCTCGCATCGACCTCCCCAACCATATCTTGGAGGATCGGATCTCTCTCAATGGCGCCCGCACTAGAGGGGGAATGATTGTGCTGCACTATGAAGTCCCACTCCTGGTCGGGTATGTTGTGCCTTCTCTTACGCGACCACGCCTTGCTTAGCAACCATCCCGCAATGTAATACAGGACCTTCCCACGCGCCGTTGAGATCTTGTGGATTTCCGTAGGATAGGTGAGAGCCACCGTGTTCGATTTCTCCCTCTCTTTCACGAACACGCGGTATAGCTCCTGGCGTGCACAGAGGGGATACGGATTAAGAAAATTATTTGAACGAGAAAACAAAAAGTATAAATTGGGATGCCGAAGGAAGGCTAACTAGAGCGAAATAAGGAGGACTACGAGCTTGTAAGATGCAAGATAGTTGACGTAATTTTATATAACCCGCCCCGTCATCAAACCTCACCAAAATTACCTGTGCACTTCTGTAATTATTTTTACTCCTTCTCCCCAACACTGCAGACGAAACACCGCGGTCATGCGAGTTGTACTCGGTGAGTGCCGCCTTGCGTGCGTACCTCATCCACTACGTTGATGATGCAGCACAGATAGTGCCTGCCCTGGTCGCCCTGCCGTGTGCGCGCGACTTCCTGAACGCTTTCATGGTTGATCCACGTTCTTAGCCGGTCGGGCCATGTCTGGAAGCGTGACAAGGTGAGAGTGGACGCTGTCCTTGTCGTAGGCTTGCGTGCTCTGCCGGCGGCGAGAAGGTCTACCAGGTATGTCCAGGAGGTCATAATCATCTCTCTTGTAGGGGGGAGGTCGATGACCATACCCCAAATACTTTGCAGCCAAGGGAAATGGTCTAGCTCGGCGGTTACGCTTTTTTTCACTAACGCTACATCACGAGGACCCGCCCGTAGGTTTTCCACGGCGTCGTCCCGCACTTCAACAGCGGCTTCCTGAAAATCGGACATAGAGGGTTTTGAGGAAACCAAGCACGAGTGAGTACGAGTAAGTGCGTATCTTCGCAGATCGAAGCGACACATTGGTGACGTTGCTGTCCAGAGTCTGTGGGCATTCGCAGGCAGCTAGCGGCCGGCGCCAGGCGGATCTCTGAACTAGCACATGTCTGGATCATCTATTGGTAGATAGAAGACGATGTTTTCGAACCCGCTTGCCACGACACCATGCGTAACCCTACCTTGCATGCCGATCCGCATACCTACCACACCTGGATATTTGTTCTCACCTGTCCAGAGTGCTCGTTCAGCATAGCAGCCACGGGGGAAAGAATCTCCAAATCCTGTTCCACCTCATCGTCCGAGTCTTCTCCGACCATGTTGTCATCGTCCAAATCCTCCGAGAAACCTAGAATAAGAACGAACATGGGCGGTCGCATGAACTCGAAGACCTGATTATCTGCTGTATCGTGCTCTGAAGAATGTGTCCCTCGTTTTAAACGTGTCCCTCATTTTTCTCCTCGATATATTGAACAAGTCTGTCGCCATGCACGACGTCCGCGGCGGCGAGACCACGGCAGAGATGCTGTGAGGTACCGAGCAGGGACAAGAATTCATCTTTTATTTTATGAAGGGACAAACAACGACGGCCACAGCAGGCGTTGAAAAGGGTCATAACCCGTAGTGTGTAAAGCAAAACTAAAATGACGCTAGGTACCTTGGATAGGCGTTGGGGAGTCACCGCCATGCGCGCGGTCGTCGCTATCCTCTGCGGGTGAATCCACGCCCTACGAGAGAGAGAGCATACAACAAAGGGAGGGGAAGTCATTACATGACACACATGGGCTGACTACAGGAGTACTTTGATCTCTCCCAGAAGGAGAAGAAAGCGCTTGGAAAAGATTGAAGAGGAAAAGTTGAAAAATCGTCTTTCTCTACAACCTCTTGAAACGCCAGAGGAGGAACAGAAGCAGTAGATACGACTAACGCAAGAAAAGGAGGGTGTACGTAAGCTCACCATGAAGACGTCTCTTGGCTTTACTGGCGATGGTCCTGTTCCCTCGTTCGATCCGGAGACCACATCGCGCAGAGCAGTCGCTTCCATGTCACACCCTGTTCAAACCAGAAACTTCAATATCAACCCGGGGAGGGACATGTCATTCTATGAAGGCGGCTGCATGCCTATGACGTGTAGACCCAACGCTTCATGCTGCCTAATAGTAGATGACAACGCAGCACAAGGACTGCTGAAGAACACTTGAATGGACGCCGGAAGTAGCAGGTGCGTCCCTATGTATGTAAGAGAACAGCAGCTGCCGCCCGAGGTGTGACACTCCTAACGTACACGACGCAAGATAACACACTACCTTCTGGACCATTTTCAAAGCTCGACTAATCAACAACAGCAGAAAGAGCCGTAGCGCGGAAAACATAGACGTTGAAACCGTCTGTTCGTGAGCTCATAGCTAACGTATCGTTTCGTTGTTGCGTCCTCTTCGTCGTCGCTTCGTCGTCAAGTACTATCGTTGATTTTAGAATAGGTGTGGAGGGGGGTGTTATCTTGAGTCGCAGACGGTCTGTGTGTGGCAACATTGAGACACGAAGTAACAACTAAAGCGTTAGACGCCTGCGGCTTCATGACAAGGTGTGCACAACTAGGTGGTGGTTCTACTGGGGTTATGCTGCGCACCATGTTAGGGAGGTTGTGCTTCGGGGATCAGCTGTTCGACCGCAGGGGAACAGCGTTCCCATGTGTGCAGCACCGCATGACAAAACAGGCCAAAAACAGGCCATTTTAGAGTGCACAAGCGGTCGGATGTTGACCTGTGGCGGATGTGGGTGCTAAGTTTGGACATTGCTCTGCGTACACTACACCATTTGACAAACGGACTTCTATCCGAGATAGCCAGCATTACACACTGATAGCTGTAGGCCTCGGGGCCTACCTGCCCCAACGCTGAGAGACGAGCGTGAGGGCGACACGGAGGGCATGCTCGACGATTAGATCCAAACACCCCAGATCTCCGATGGTCATGTTTCAATTTTTCTCGACTCACCGTTGATGATCAGGCCTCCTTCCTTCGCCACAAGCCCCGCCTGTGATGCTGTTAGAGCGCACGCCGAGTGCGAGTCCAGTAGACGCTCGAGCAATCGGATGGGTGTACGATGAAGGGCTTGTGGAGAGGGCCCTGTCCTGATCCGTCCCCGCATGCGCCATGCACGCCTGCGTAGAATGAGACCCGCCAGCTTCCTCAGAACAACACGTCACAAGTCTACCTCCAATTTATGCTGAAATTAGAACAAGGAGAATCTCAGTTACCGTCCAACCCTTTTTTTTTAAGGTCATGGACCATAGCTTGTGGGCGTCTCTTCGTCCACACACATGTCCACAGTTTTTCAAAATCCTACTCTTAACGCAACTCTGCTGACAGTCCATACTTGCATTCCGAGAATCTAAGATTCTATCCAATTCTCTCAAAAGACCTCTCGAATCTCTCAAACTTATTTCCCGATGAGTGCACCAATCCGCCTCACAACTTCCCGATAGTTCAGTATCCTTTCAAACATGTCCCGCTCTTTTCCACCTGCTCTCTTTCCAAGTAGTACGCTTGGCAGCACTCAGTTTACACCAGCCCTGTTCCATACCACACTATCAACCGTAGTTACCCGGTAAGTCCACAGTTCCAAGAAAAGCGGCCCGATTGCACCACAATCGCGGCGAAATATATCGAACAGACCGCGGGCACACATATTGCGGTCTGCGGTCGTTCACGGAACGAAGCTGGTGCTGCCGCCCGCTGCACAAGGTACCAGGCACACGACGAGACTCAGGGCCACTACTCCCGATGACGGTGGTTCGGTCGCACTGGAGTGGGTGCACGCCGTACCGTCGTCGCTCGCCGCAACACACGGGTGGGTGCAAATCGTTACAGCAGCTGCTCTCTGGTGCCTCGCCGCGACGACAGCGTTGGCTTGTGCGTTCCAAGTCGTCCACACTCGGCGTGGAGCATGCGTGAGAAGGAGCCGGCAGGAGTAGGAGGAGTTCATCAAACCTTTAGAGCAGGATGGGTCGTTCAAGACGCGGTATCGAATGAGCCCGAAGGAGTTCAAAGGGCTGTACGAGATGCTGCGGGGACGTCTTGAGTGCCATGGCCCCGAAGGGCGTGGCCACAACGGCACCATAGCTGGGGAGTGGGCGCTAGCTAGCACGTTGCGGTGGCTCGCAGGGCACGGCGTCAGCGCTGCGGCTGATGGTCCCCACATGGCCACGAGCACAGCATTTGCGAAGATCAAGAAAGGGCTGGATGCCATCAACGACTGTGGGAGGCTTCGGATAAAGTGGCCGAGAACGGAGCGGGAGCTTCAAGCGAAGGCGCAGGGGTTGCTGCTCGGAGTTCCCAACTTGACCCTGTTCTGAAGCGCTGTGTGGGAGCATTGGATGGACTCCTTGTAAGACGCAAAAAGCCTAGCATCACCGAACACCCTTGTCCAGATCGTTTCTTTTCAGGGCACAAGATGACAGTGGGCATGAACTACCAGGTGCGAACACTACATAATTCCAACCTAGCAGTAGACTGACTCTCTGTTGTTGTTGTTGTTGTTGTTTCTCACATTAGCTCTAAAAAACAAAATCGGGAGCCCATGGTCTCAAAACCCGGCATACACGACCCCACGAAGAAACAGAAAAAAATAGGGTACAAAAACCACTCGGAAGAGAAACAAAATGATAGAAAGAAAGACCAGCTACCGCACCAAACGAGAAAGAGCGTCGAGGAGACCGATCAAAATAAAATAAAAGG